ATGAACCTAAATATGAAAGACTAAAACTATACAAGTTTAAGAAGAAATTATAAGGGAAAATGTTCATGAATTTAGGGTAGGCAAGAACTTCCTAGGATACAAAAAACATGATGTATAAAAGAAAAAAAATGATATATGAGATTCTCTTAAAATTTAGAACTTTAAATGACATGGTTAAAATGAAAAGTAGTCCTTAAACACACCATATTTGCAATGCACATAGGGGCTGGGGATTTAGCTCAGTGGTTCCGCCACCTGCCTTGCAAGTGCAAGGACCTGAGTTTGATCCCTGGTACCAAAAAAAAAACAAACCAAAAAACAAAACAATACAATGCATATAACCTATGACCAGAATATATAAAGAACTCTTACAGCTCATTAATAGGCAACCCAATTAAAAAGTAGACACAAGAAGATGATAAATAGCCAGTACAGCACAAGGAAAGGTATGCAACACTAGAATCAGAAAAATACTAATCAGTACAATAACAAGATTGAATTATACACTCATTAGGGTGATGAAGTTAAAAGTTTTAAAAGAACAAATGTCAGCTTAGGTACGAACCAGTTAGAACTTTCTAATACTGCTAATGTGAATATAAAATTATAAAACCATTTTGGAAAACAATATAGAAATATCTTGTATTAATGTTAAGAACCAACAGTCCTGTTCTTAAGTTTTTATTTTAGAGGAATGAAAACACATGTTCACAATAGATTTGTACATGCAAGTTGAGTATCCCTTATCTGAAATTCTTGGGACCAGAGTGGTTCAGATTTTCTTTTGAAATCCGCTTGATCTGCAAAGAGGATAGCTACTTCCTCTTTTTTTTGTCGGATTCCTGTCACATGGAGTATTGTTTTCCACCCTTTAACTTTCAGACTATGAGTTTCTTTTCGAATTAAAGAATTCATTTCTTTTTAGCACAAAATAGTATTCCATTTACACTTACTACGGGTTATCTATTCACCTATTGAAGAACATCTTGGTTCCTTCCAAGTTTTGGCAACTATGAATAATGTTATTATTAACATGTTTGTGTGTGTGTGTGTGTGTTATGAGGGATTGAACACAGGGCCTCACACATGCTAGACAAGCACTCAACCACTAATCTACATCCCAGTCCTTTTTATTTCTTTACTTTGAGACAAGACCTTGATAAGTTGTCCAAGCTAGCCTCAAGATTGTAGTCCTATTGCTTCAGCCTTCCAGGTAGCTGAGGTTACAGATATGTGCCACTATGACTGGTTGTGCAGTGTTTTTAGTTATATAAGTTTTTAACTAATTTATATAAGTATCAAAGAGCATGATTGCTAACCATAACTTAAAAGTGTGTTCAGCTTTGTGAGAAACTGCAAGGCTATCTTTCAAAGAAGACTTCTCATCTTACATTCCTATGAACAATGAAAGAGAGTTCTTGTTGTTCACATTCTCACCAACTTGGTATTGTCAGTATTTTCAATGTTAGCTATTCTAATAAATATGTCATGGCCATCTTACTATTTTCAATTTTGAAAAAGTATAATTGTATATTTATATTTGTAGTTTTACATTAGTTATTTTATTGATGTTTTCCTTCTCCCTAAGACAGTGAATTCAGTGAAGAACAGAGAATGCTTCTGCTTTTATCTATTATTTTACTATTTATATGCCTCAGACATAGCAGACACTTGATGTGTATTTGAATGAATTATGAACAATCTTACAGTTTACTTTGAGTATATGATTTTGTATGAGAATCTAAGACTACTGGAGATGATGGAGCAGAATCTGCCATGCTTAGACCATAATCTGGGACATTATTCACCTAAGGCTGTCAGAACTCAACAGTGACTGCACTCATCCTCAGAAGCAACTGGTCACCTGGTACAGTTCTTCCTTTTTGCATCATCTGAGGAAACATGGCTTCTTACTCAAGCACTTTTTCAGAGCTTCATTGATGTCTCTGTTTCTTAGACTATAGATGATGGGGTTGAACATGGGTGTCAGGATGGTGTAGAGCAGAGAGAACCCTTTGTGCAATAGTTGGGAAGAGTTGTCAGAGGGCACGAGGTATGTGGCAATCAGTGTCCCATAAAACACCATGACCACAGTGAGGTGGGATAAGCATGTGGAGAAGCCTTTTTTCCGACCTGTGCCAGAAGGGATTCTTAAAATAGCAGTGAGAATACAGGAGTAGGAGACTATGATAAGGAAGAATGGAACTAGAGTCACTGCTGATGAGGTGACAAAGGCAATGGTTTCAGTCAGTGAGGTGTCCATGCAAGAGAGATGGACCAGAGGGGCGAAGTCGCAAAAGAAATGATCAATTTCATTAGGTCCACAGAAGGTTAGCCTACACAGCAAGGCCATGGTGATTGATGTCAGGAGGAAACAGCAGAGCCAAGAGCCAGCAGCCAGCCTAATGCAGAAGGAACCAGTCATGAGGATTGAGTAGTGGAGAGGTTGACAGATGGCCAGGTAGCGGTCATAGGACATCACACCAAGCAAGAGACATTCAGTTGCAGTCAAAGATCCAAAGAAGTAGAACTGTGCCAGGCAACCAGCCACAGAAATGGTCTTCTGTTCAGCTATGATAATCAGTAACATCTTGGGCACAATGTTGGAGGTATACCAGATTTCCAGAAAGGACAAGTTCACCAAGAAAAAGTACATGGGAGTGTGGAGGGGACTGTTGATCAAAACTAAGAGGACAATGAGGATATTTCCAGAAATAGTCAAGATGTAGAAAATGAAAAACATAATAAAGAGGGAAATATTTAGCTGTAGGATGGATGAGAATCCTCTAAGAACAAATTCCACTAGTATTGTTTGGTTTTCCCAGGATGAAATCACCATACCTCAGCTTCCCTAGAACATCCAATGATAAGTTATACAAAATGAAGAAGGTTGTAACTTACATAGAGAACAAGGACAATGAATGGTTTTTTATTCCTCATTCAGGTTTTTTATTTGAATGAAGAGAGATCATCTTTTTGTTTCAAGACCTAATATGGGAAAGAAAATAATTTGGAATAGAACCTGCACCTTCAACATTCACCTCCAACTTCCCCCACCTTGTATCTTCATTTCATCTGGAGCAATGCCAGTCTTTAGGGAAAGCAGGAATGGAAGAAAGGGAAAGAGAAATACAAAGGTAGGAAAGACAAAGAAAGAGACAGAGAATCCTCTACTATGTGTCCTTTTTGAGTATTTGGTAATCTAAGTATTTCCAGAAAGAAAAGAAGAAGATTTAAAAGGGAAGGGGGCAGAAAGGAAGATGAGGTGTACACCAAGAGATTTTGTGAACTCTCAACCAGAAAGCCAAGGATCCAAAGCAAAGAACTCCTTCCATTCACCATAACCACCGTGTACCTTAAGGGAAATGACCATTTATCGTAACAACTTTATTTTCCTCTTCTTCCTGCTTCTTGATGAATTTGGAAGTTTTTTATTTCTATTTTTCTTTCTGCAGTATTAGCAAGAGAAAATACTGCTGTTGGGAGGTTTGGGATTCTCTGATACTGAGGTCAGTGCTAATGCAGGTGTGACCCAGGGAAGAGTGCTTTCTCCCACATTTTAAACAGAAAACATCAGATCCATTAAAATATTTTATATATACCTGCAGTAAATAGAAGATTCAGAATCAGATGCCTGAAGGCAGTAAGCGTAACCAGTCCTGAGTATAAAATAGCCTTGGGTTCTTTTTTTTTGGTACCAGGGATCAAACTCAGGCCCTTGTGCTTGCGAGACAGGTGGCAGAACCACTGAGCTAAATCCGGGGCCCACCTTGGGTTCTTTTTAGTGAGATAAGAAAGCTTACTTTTTTTTCAGTCCCATCTTGGTGAAAACTATTCTCCCAAATATAGAGTTAAGGACAGATAGATAATTTGTCTTCAGAACACTGCTATGGCTAGAGCAGGTCTGAGGCTGAACCCATTTTATTGTTCTTGACACCTTAGTCCTGTATCTGTACTTCTTTAAGGTAGTCAGGGATGGACCAAGCTGCTAAGGGAAGCAAGGAAAGATGAGAAAACCTACATACAGGTGCCGAAGTTTCTGTAGGTGTATCTAACAGACGAAAAGCCAGGGAATCTGCCTGATGAGTCAGTCTTTGATCAAGTTACTTAGCTTCTCTACAACACAGTTTTCATCCATAAAATGGGATACAGGCTTGACGAAGAACATAAAATGTGTCTAGCGTGTACAAAAATCATATAAATGAACAGACTGGGAAATCATGATCTATTATTCAAGGCTGCAGATATTACTTAAGTTTATCAAGCATTTGCCTTTACTTTGAAAGGGGCATTGGCATAAAATCCCAGTCTCTTGGACCATGTGTGCTCATGTAATTGTGTGACTATAAAACTATTCTTGCTACCTTTGATCATACTACCAGCCTTTTGGCAGTATACAGATCCCATTTGAAAACTGATCCAGCCACTTTCATTGTTGGCTCACTACCTCTTCCCTCCTTGCCAAGCACCAGAGGCTCTGCCTATAGCCCTTCAGCCAGCAGCCAGGTAGAATTTCCAGGGGAAACTTCTGTGGAGGCTGAGCTTGTGGTGGTGGCAACCTGAAAACTCTACCCCATTTTGTTAAACTATTTAGTAGCAACATGGAAGATCCATTTGAAGAAATAGACCAGCTCACCACAGACCAGACATTATCATGGACAGTGCAGAGGCAGGAGACAATACCTCCCACCAAAAGAAAGAGCAAGTTTTCAGGCTCTGGCAAGATCTTCAAACCCTGGAAATGGAGGGGGAAAGGAGTAGTGATAAATTTTGAGACATTAGAAGTTTTGGAATGAAAAATATCTATGCAAAAACCAAGAGAAGAGCTGGTTAAAAGAGGAGCTTTGTTAGAAGACCCTGATCAGGGAAAGTTGAGTTCATGCTGTATTAAAGAATATCCATACTACTCCTATAGAGAGTGCCATACCTTCTGGTCCTGTCTTAGTGGAGGAAAAGCCAGTATGAATAGCAAGTGTTAAGAACCCTATTCCAGAAAAGGACCTAAAAAAAAAGCAATGAGGCTCAACTGGAAGCCAGCCTAACTCTGAAGCAGAGTCACCCCGAGAATATATAGACAGTCTTTATTCCCCCTGAAAAGACCCTTGTCTTCTTCTCATGAAGCAAGTTAAAGGAAAGCAAAGGCTATCACTTTTTCTGGAGGCATAAGGTCCATATTCTCTACCTCTGAGTACTCTGCCACCATAGCACCTGCTGCCACTACAGCTGCCACAAACCTAATGAAGACTGTTAACTCCTTTGTCACCCCTTTCTGGCACTCAGGACTCTGAAATACAGCACCAGATTGGGAACACATTGATCCAGCAACTGAGTCAAAGACCCACACCAGAAGAACTGGGTCAATGTAAGTTATACTGCAACCTAAAAATGAAACTAATTGGCAGGCAGAAAAAAGAGAGATTAAACATCAGCTCACTAGAAAACTTAGTCAAACACTAACTGTGGCTGAAATACTTGCCAAAAAAGATTCTGAAATTTAATGAATACGTGGAGGTAACAGATGCTTGAGATTATGACTGGTGAGCTGACATACCTTGGACCAAACTGACCTCTGCAGACAAGACTGGCATAAGAAAAGAATTAAATGAATTTAAAAGCTCAGAGATGGAGGTTCATGAAGACAGCAAACATTTCACACACTACCATGGCCCATGAAGCTGAGTTTTGAGAGAGGAACTACACACCCCCAACACTCACACAAACACACACACACACACACACAAAACAGGGTTTTTTGCAGCTTGTCTCCAGAGTGACATATGGAAGGAACTTTAGCACTTCCCAGCACAGCCAGAAATGCATACTCTGGGATCTGTTTCTGGAGTGAACAGGAGTCCTGTGAATATAGCCTTTCATTGGAATGGATTCTCATGTACTGACCATGGGCAAGAACTGAACACTTTGTCAGTGAGTTTGAGCTTTTCATTGCAGCATACTTGAGGGGTTTCCGCTCACAGCCACCAAAGTTCTGGGCCACCTGTAGGTTCCAAGGTTTATTGGCTGCACCACACCCCAGCCCCAAGATGACTGCCTATGCTTAGGCACAGATTGCACCATTAACCTTACTGCCCTCCTGTGATTGTGAGACCCACTGTGTGGGCACTAAATTCTAACTATCAAATTCAGTTGGTGGCAGGAAAAACCCTGGAGGCCCCAGTTTTCTAATAAAGTGGTCCTCACTTCCATAGGAAACTTTTGCACCACACTGATTTTTCAGTTGAAAGCATTGCCCTCGACCTCTTACAACACACCAATATAGTTAGTCCTCTTCTGCACACAAGTCTGAGAGGAATCTGCTCATGATTTGATATGTTCCTCTTTTTTTGGCACTTGTGTCTTGACTTTTATTTTAAAGTGATCTTGAAGAAGTATTGAGAATTTGTCTTCCTGTCTACTGTCTGAGCTGCAACCAGAATACAAGTAGATCAAATGAGAAATTGTGTATATTTTCCGTATACAAAAACAAGAAAAAAGGTCTTAATATTAATGCCAACTTGGCAGAAAAACCCCATGACTCAAATTATATAGGCTGTTTTATTTTTATTGTATCAAATGATACTGTAAATTATTTCAACCAATAGATGTATCCTCAGTAAAGCAGGGTTGTGGGCACTCTGTGGGAGCACTTGTGTGCTGTTGGCCTCACACTTCCAGCCAGGATCATAGCAAGGTCCTAAAGGGTATAAGGTGCGGTTCTGACAAAAGTGTTTGAAGAAGTACAAGGGGAGGCACAATCATGGCCCCTGCCTCCTCTCTTCTCAGTGTTGTCCTTTCCCACTTCACATTTCCTCTTCACTCCCGAGACCCTCTCTGGCAGCTTCCACCTTACTTACCTTTCCTTTTCCGCCCTGTACCAGTGTGGTCAGTGCCTGAGTATTGACTCAGCCCCCGCTCCATTTTGTATTTGTAATATGTATTAGTATAGTTACCTAAAATGGATTTGGTAACTTTCCTTGACTTTTCATTGAAAATCAAACAGCCTCACTATTTGCCTCTCAATTCCTGGCCACACTGTAAGTGAAAGAAAAGAAATAGTTTCTTTTTAACTGATGAATGTGTTTTTCCTTTGCTATAATGTACAGTAAATTGTGGCTCTTCCATAAATCTCTTCTGAATTATTCTGTAATCTCTGTCATTTGTTCAGTATGAAATCTTTCATCAGATTTTTCTCCTTTCTTGTCCACACAGACTTGCTAAAGAATCAAAATGTTAGGTCAAAACCAAAAAGCTAAAGTGACCTGAAAGTCTCTGATTTTCTCTCTGCAGAGAAGATGGGGGCTTTGGATTTCTTAGTTACTGTAAATTGTCTTATGGCTACGGAAAAATACTCAATCCACAAGTGCTTTAATACTTGCCTTACTTGGGTAAAATCAAGGCAGACTCTAGGTCTGTTACAGGTCTGGATGTAAGGTGCCCACACATTAACTGCTAATTTGACTTCTCATCATTCTATCTTGATGGTTTAGAGACTCTGGCTTATGTCCACATTCTTTCTGGCTTAAGATGACATTTTTAAATCCATTTCTTTCCCGTAATGTGCAAAATTTGAAACAGAATTTGATTTCTTAAACTAATTGTCTGCTTTCTCTTTGCCATCAAGGATTCTGCTTTATCTTTCATCTCATTTGTTTTCTCTTGAAAACAATATACATACTTAGCAGGTAAAGTCTATTCAGCTGGTTATTTTGTTTTTATGTATATAAAGATGGATTTTGTGTTCCCTTTCTGTTTAAATTGGAAGCACACAATCAAAATGCAAAGAAGAAACAAAAGCCTGGTATATTGTGCTGCAAGATGCTTCCCTGTTGTACAGAATCTCCT